CGAGAAAGCTCACCCGGGTGTTGCCGAGCAGCGCCCAGAGGTGCCTTGGGTGGGCTCTGAGGTGCTGCCGCCGCCCTTCGCTCTGTAGCCGCGGGTCCTGCGGCCGTCCCGGCGTTGGCGGCCTCGTCCCTCGCCTCGTTGGGGACGGAGGGAAGCGGTGTTGTGGGGTTAACCGTCCAGCTTAGTTGCAGAACTATTACCCTTCGCAGCCCGCCTGGTTTGCCCCTCTGCAACTGGGTTTTAGCATCTCCCTGCTCTGTTTTCATTGCGGTGGTGAGTTCACCTGTAGAATCTCTTCATCCAGAAAGAACCGGTGCAGAGAGAGTGAACGGCTGGAAATAACCGTCAGGTAACAAGGGAGAAGTAAGGTGTCCTTGTCTTAATATTGAGAATAGTTAACATTAACAGTCATTTACGCAAGTGGTGGTTACTTTGTGTCTTAAAGTCATTAAATCATACTGGAAAGCACATGCTTTAATCCATTTTGTCACTGGGCTCAGCTGAGAGGTAGCATCTTGCAATTCGCTGGCTTTCTATTTAAATAAACACTGAAATGCAAACATCTTCATGAACTATCAACCCTTTTTCTGCCCCTGGACCTTTCTATGCATTTAGCACTTAAGTTGAGTTCTTGTCTGTAGGGGTTTTTTCCCCAAATTCAGATGTTGCATCCTCCAGGCCATGAGCTGGACCTATCTGGTCCTGTGGACTGCACCTATGCTATCTGGGTTGCCCATGCCTATGTCAGCCACCATCCAAAAAGGATATGGGAAGAAACATGGATATGTTCTCATTCTCTGAATAAACCATTTTGTATTGCTCTCCGGGCCTCCCACATAGAAATATGTGAATATTTCAACAGAGACAACAAAAAGACTGGAGCAGTGTGTGCTCAATGCACTAATGAGAAAGATGAAGACACTAGGAGCAAGGCAGGGCTGGCAACCCTGTCTGCATCCAGAGCTGAGGTAAAGGTTAAGTTTTAAATCACTGCAAAGGTTGCAAGGGGACAGTATGCATTGGCTTTCCTTTTCTTCACGACCAACTTTGCTCTTCTAAGGAAGACTGGAAGTTTCAGTGAGTAAACCATGCAGGGACATTAAATCTGACAGTGTGGATGTTCTCTTGAGGCTCATTCTGGTCGTCTCTTGCTTTGTCAGCCCTTGAGTTTATGTGTTTTCCGTGGTAGTGCTGCCATGTCCTCTGACCCCATAGCCAAGATTCTGAGTCAGTGCTAAGACACTAAGTCTGGATTATGAAATTTCTCAGTGCAAAAGCTTGTGTAATAGGTACCATCTGAGAAGCAAAAGGAAACTAGTAAGCCCAGAAAAAAGAAGTTTCTTAAAAAAAAAAAAGACAATATGGCCTTTATAATGGCAATTTTGTTCAATCAAATATGTCACTTGGAAAAAAAATGGTTTAAGATAATACTGCTTGACTTCTTGCTCCTGCTAAAAATGTGAAATTAATAAGTCATGTTTGTTCGGGTTTTGGGTTGTTGTTGTTTGGGCTTTTATTAAAGTATGTTTTATTCATATGCTTAGCTTCAAATGGAAATAGGACATTTTTGCAACTCATGAGGGTGCTGAGTTGCTGGCACAGGGTGCCCAGAGAGGCTCTGTGTGCCCCATCCCTGGCAGTGTTCAAGGCCACGTTGGACACAAGGGCTTGGAGCAACCTGCTCTAGTGGAAGGTGTCCCTGCCCATGGCAGGGGGTTGGGACTGGATGAGCTTTAAAGTCCCTTCAACCCAAACCATTCTGTGATTCTATAAGATCCTTTTGTACCAGCTGTGACATTCCTGACAAGTCACTCATTACCAGGTTGTAAGATGTCCCTACAGTAGGGATCCCACTGTGGCAAGGCCCACTGTGGGAAAAGCGAGATTCTTTAGCAGATGTGCTGGGAAGTATAGGGTTTTATCTAGTATTGGATTTTCTTTGGGTTACTCATTGCATGAAGCAGAAGTTTCTTTCTCTTCCTTTCCTCTATAGTCGGCTCAGTTTCTTAACAGTGGCACTGTGTTTTTAATGGAATACTTGTACTTGTTTCTTTTTGCCTATCTTTCTTGTAACCCTCTATTTGTATTGCAAGGAAGGCTCTAGAAATTTAAATTCTAGGGAACACTGTATGACACCAGTTGATGGTAAAACATCAGCTCAATATTCAGCAGCCGTCAAAAAGTCTACTTACAGCATCAGCAATGATTAACAGCAGACTTGTAGCTGTTGTGGTCATCTGGGGACACCAATGCAGCTTCCTTTGCTACCTCATGGCCCAAATGCTGCCCACAACCCTTCTCACCCCACCACAAAAGGGTTTATGAGTTAGAAAGGTAAAGAGAGAAGCAAGTAGGATAAACATGAGGCTGTACAAACAGTATAGCCAAGGTGTGATCATAGGTGCAGCTGAACCAGCACCTTCTGATAGTGGCTGATAGCAGAGGCCAAGAGGTGGATATGAGAGCAGTCTGTGTGGGCTCTTGGATTATACCTTCCCAGCTGAGTTATGAGATCAGTATGTAAAGGAAATCTGCTATTTGAGGACAAATTAAACAGATTCTTTTGCTTAGAAAAGAGACAGCTGAATGGCAATATGGTACCTAGATGATTCTATGATTCTAAGTTGCAAGGGGTGTGGAAAAATGCCTGGAGAACACTCGTATAAATTTCACATAGCAAATGAGAAGATTTCCAATGAACTCTTCAGGAATCTAGGTTTAAAACAAACTAAATGTAGTCCTTTTTTGACCTAAACGCTTCTGTAAACAACACTTACTCAGTTTTCTTGTATAACCAGGTTTATGCTTAAGTTTAAGATAAGTGGGAAGCTCCTTGTCAAAAGTTGTTGCATCTGCACAAAGGAGGAAGGGACTAAAGATATTAGAGGTAAAAGGAGGAAAATCTATGGAGGTTTTAAAGCACACAAGTGTAAACAGAGTGGTTTCTCAGGACAACTGCTAGCACATGAGAGGGTTTTCTGCTATGCCTTATCCCTCAGAACATTTGCAGCTGGGCTCTGCCAAAGCAAGCTGAACCCCAGCTCTGCCATCGCACAGCTATTTTTGGGATCCCCATGTCTTGTTTTCTGTAACCTCTCCAGGGACTACCAGCCTGTGTATTTTAAAGGGCATTGTATACACATGCTATGTGTGTCACAGCTGGAGGAAGTGATCCTACAGCATCTATCAGTTGGTCCAGCCACCAGCAGTGGCTCAGCTGTAGTTTTGCTGTGGCCTTCCAGTAAAGAAGGGATTATAACTTTGCTCTCCAGGCTTAAAATATGATACTGAGAATGATCTGTCTGTTACTTGAATCCTTTCTCATGCCTTGGTGTTGATTTAATGGATATCACTGTAAAATGTTTCTGGTTTTTATGCTGGTAGGGCTTTACTGAGAGATGATGACACCCTACAGGTTGTTTTGGAGATGGTGAGCAAATGGATACTATACCATAGCCTCTTTAGTCTATTACTTATCCAGGGATGAGTTCCAGCTATGTTCCTTAATTTTTTGAGTTTCTAGTTACTATCTAGTGCTGAAAACTCATACGAAGAACTATGTCGAAAGTCCCCTTACAGTGAGATAAATGTTGTTATCGGGTATCAATCAGCAAGATCATAATTTGATGCCTATCACTGGGCTTCTGTTAAAGAACCACTGGCTTTTCTTTCTTTTCTTCCTGTCCACTAATGTGCTGGGTGTTTGCTTTACAAAAAGTATGTAAACTTCTACACCTGGAGATTAACTTGTTTATGTTGTGGATTGACACTACATACTTAGCAGCCAGGTTACAGACACAACACTCTGAGCTACTCAGAGGACATTAACAACAGAGAGGGCCAGGCTTAGTGACAGTTAAGAACAAGCAAATATTCACCCTTAGCTACCTTTCTGTGATGGTTGCAAACTGCAGCACAAAAATGTGTTGAGAGAAAGGGCAGAAAAAGCTGTGTCTGTGATCTTGTAGTGAACATCTGTACTCACTTTTACCTGGGAGGGAAACCAAAGCTTTTCTCCAGTTGCTCACAATCTGTTTTTTTTTCCAAATAGAATTATTCTATGTAAATCGTGGAGGGGAAGAAATGAGGACTGAAAACCTACCTGCCTTTGCTTAGCTTTCTAACCTGTTCTTGCCTGCCTGCTCCTCAAGAAGACTACTACAATGGCAGATCCTTCAGTGGTGGATCACCTGACACGACTGAGACTCAAACTCCTAGAAAAGGTAAGGGAATATCTTTGCAGTGTTCACCTTTGCTCTTCGTTTTGCTCTTGCATGTTTAAGCATTAACATTGTATTTTAAATCATTATATTTCTACTGAGATACAAAGAGGATCTGCAGCCAGTTGAGAACTCCTTTCTTCATGCAAGCAGAGTCAGAGGAACGTGCAGTGGTGCTGCAGTCACTGTCACTTTCTTAAATAACATTGTACAAGTTTACGTGGACCTACAGTAAGTTAAATAGAGATAAAAGTGACTTTGATCCTATGGGGAATGTCACCAGTTAGCTCAAAACCATTTTGAGTTGTGACAGGCAAAGTTTAGGAGTAAATTTTGGGTAAAGAGGACCTCAGATTGTTTTAAGGCAATTTCATGTTGTATTTTTGTGTATTTTCACATAAGAAATGTTACCTGGTGAAACGTGGGCAACCTTTGTGCCACACAGAATCCCAGTAGCTCGCTCTTGTGACTCGGCACACTAATGCACCCAGGGTTCTCCACTCAGCCCTGTTCTTCCACTGTCAGCACACCTGACATCCATTAGTGTATATCTTCTGCTTCAGTGTCCTCCAGAAGCCACTTAGAGTTGTCTGGAAGGAAAAACAATTTACCTGGACACATGAATGCTGGAACTGGCATCTAACCTGTCTGCACAGTGGAGTCTTTCATCTTAGATGCTGCAGCCATTTGAGGGCAAAGCTTTCACCAATGTGGAGCTATGCAGCACCAAGAAAAGAGCCTCTGCATGAGCAAAGGGTCTCTAATTTCTGGGCATCAGGGAGCAGCAAGGGCCAGCTGCTTCCTAAGGAGCAAGGAGTTAAGCACAATAACTCAGCCAGCAGAGCAGGGACCAGGCTGGCCAGCCCCAGAGCAAGGCAAGCAGGGCAGAACCAAAACTCCAGCACCATTAGGCAAGCTCATGGCAATGAGGCAGGTCCAAGGCCAACCTGGGAATTGCCTGCAGGTTGGGATCAGGGTTAAAAAGATGTGTGGCCAGTCACAGGTATGGCTGTGGTTGAACTTCAGACCGTGACTCACCCATTATAGCCCAGGTATGAACTAGGCTATCCTAGAGCTGATATGAAAGGGGCTCCTGGGCTCATGAACAGTAGGTGTGGATGGAAGCCCCAGGTGGGGCTGGTTAGGGCCATTTAGGCCTATTAGTGCACCAAATACCCAAAACTGTCCAGCATCAACTTCTTCATATGATCCAGCTCTCTGCCCTACAGACGAAGTGATGTATAAGTCTCCTGATTCACCATGCTATCAATTTCCAGGTCTGGGATAGTCTGGCCAGTTGGAAGCATGACTATTCTTTTACCATAACTAGATTTATAGTGAGACGTTTCGTACTTCTATGAATACTTCTTGTAACTGTGATTTAGCAGCTGAGAAGCACTGCTTTTCCTCCACTTCTGCTTTATTTCCTCCATCCCAAACCTATGCTTATAAGGTAGGGCTGGAAATTGTTGTGAGCTTTGCTGCCTGACTCATAACCAGTTCTTGTTGTGGTTCTACCAACAGAGACTAGAAAATGAACAGGAGAACCTAGAGAAGATGGAGTTGCCTCTCCCAGCAGCAAGTAAGAGAATCATTTGTTCTCATTATGAACATAATATGGGAAGGGCTTAGTGATGTTCTCAGGCCCAAGTTCCTCAGTAGACCACACCAGATTATCACATCTACAGCCTAAAAGCTGTCTACATTTTATCTTTTCAATTTCTTCATGTGTTTATTTCTGACAAAGGGAAGTGATCAGCCAGCTGAGTGCTGGCATAAGGATGGCCTCCTGCCTAGGTGTGCTCTGCAGGTGATCCTACTTGTCCTAGCTCTTCTACCTAGGAGTGAGCCCCTGCTGCAGTCCAGCTGTATGCTTTGCTTTGGTGACCCTGAAAAGGAGTCATTAGGGTGGCTGTGTGTCTTCAAGGGATCCAGGCAGGAGGAATGCTCCACTACTAATGCTGCTTTGCACCTTTGAAGGTGACCAATCCAGCCTTGTGCAGACCAGAAGATGGTTTCCAGCATGAGAAATTGTGACTCAGCTTATGAAATATGTTGTTATACTGATAGAGTTGGTCTTGAGAACTATGGTAGTAAGAGCTGGGAACCATTTTAACAGGAAACCATGAATGTGTTAATTACATCCTGACCTGGTTTGGGCAGAGAGGTCAGGAATCCCAGCGTACTTATAGAATGTGGAAAGGTTAGAAACATCACTATAACAGGTAGTCAACAGCTCCAAGTTGATGGGTAAGGGAGTCAAAAATAAGTTGTGTCTTTATGAAGGCCTTCCAAAGACTGCTGTGATGTTTAATGTACAAGTAGTGTGTTCCCTACAGCAATATTCCCTGGAAGCTACACATGTTGTGTGCAGTGCATTCATTTGTTTACATGGCACATGCACTACTTACATAATCTATGGATTAAAGGCTACCCATAGGCAATCAGTAATATTTCTAGATTGGCCTCTGGGCTCATATTCATTGGGTTGATACACAAATAGTTGGAAACTTTCAATGCTGTGGCCAGAAATGAACAATTCCTTTATCAACAGTTTCAAAACATGAAGTGATGCTTTTCAGAGCAGATGCTTCCAATGTATGTGAAAATATTCTTGCTTGTTTTCACTTCAAGCAACTTCCAGATCAGCTGTAGGTGGGAAGAACTGAACAGAAAGTTGATACAGAACAAAAAAAGAAACAGCAAAGCTGACATTCAAAGCTGGGTTTGTTTGGATATGTCACAACAAACTTTCTTTTACACTTCGCACAATCATCCTGCGTATGGACAGAGTATTTGTAGAACATTTCCAGCTGAAATGAGTTTCTAAGGTGGGAGGTTAAAAGGGAGCTTTAGAGAGTTTATATTGCCTGCTGGACATCTGTGTCTGCATGGGGCATAAAGTCATTATCCCTTCATGGATTTGACAAGAAAAGTAGCCTAAAGCCTTTTGTGGAAGAAGTCAAGCTCTCTTATAACACGTTGTCCAAAATCTCATCATGTTAAGTGCTATAATAGCTCTGTCTTTGTGATCCCTTGAGAAGATAATGGCCTTTTCATCCTCCAGGGAACAGATGTGAGGATATGCTACAAAGTGCCCTAAAGCGAAGGAAAGATCTCCTGCAGGAGCTAAGGGTAAGAGCCCTTTCTGTGGGCAGAAACAACAGAAAGGAGCAGGTTGTCTGCACATCCACTGCTGAGGTGGGTTCAGTTTTTTCCTGTCCTTTAGTTCTTGGGCTGGGGCTTGAAGTAACCTGGTCTAGTGGAAGGTGTCCCTGCCCGTGGCAGGGAGGAACTGGATGAGCTTTAAGGTCCCTTCCAACCCAAACCATTCTATGATTTCTAGGTTTTGGAGGAAACACTTCTCCAGGTTTTTGGCAGATTGTTCTTCACTTTTTTTCCCCCTGCTTTTTGCTTGTGCTGAAAACTGTATGGCTTCAAAATGTGTCGGGAGAAAACTCTCTTTATACCTGTGCAGGCACTGGTTGAGTACTTCCCTTTGTGCAGTGGTCGCTTGTGGCCTGTCCATCAGACACAGGATGTTTCTGCAGCAGTGTTTCAGTGAGCAAGGCTGTGCCATGCTGCAGGCTTCAAGGGCTAATCCTGTTTGGTCCAGAGAGTGTAACAATACTGCCTGCCTTTCTCTGACCAGGTTTTCTTTAAGAAGATACTTGATTTTGCAGGAGCAGCACCTTCTGGAAGAGCTTTCACAGCCCTCTGCACCAGCTGGCGGACACTGTCACAGCCACAGAGCTGCTGCCCCACACATCTACCAAATACCTTTTCCAGCTCCAGAGGAGCCACCACGGATTATCCAGCAGATGGTAAGGATCCTCTCTCCTAGGAAACACTGCTGCTGCTGTGCCAGTCTGAAACAACAGCTGCTTGGGAGCTTTATGGAAACGTTCATCCCACTGAAAGAGAAGATATCCCTCTTGCAGTGGTATGGGACCCTTGCTGCCTTAGGCAAAACCTACAAACAAAACATGAAATTCACAGTGGGAATGGTTTACCACAGGAAGGAGGGTAGTGAGAGGAGTGAGAGGATTGCCCCTGCTCTGGTGTGGCTGTTCAGCCAGTTCCCAGTGCACACCACTGTCAGCTCATACAGCCCAGAACCTCAACAGTTGCTGAGTAAGGATCATCATAGAATAACAGAGGAAAGGAACCTCAAGGATGATCTGATCGAACCTCTGTAGGCACAGCATGACCTAGACTAGATGTCCCAGCACCCTGTCCAGCCCAATCATAACAGTGACCAGTGTTGGGGAATCCACCACTTCCCTGGGGAGGTTATTCCAGTGGCTGGTTGTGCTCCTTGTGAAAAATTTTCCTCTTGCGTCCAACTTGAATCCCCCCAGGAGTAACCTGTGCCCATCGCCCCTTGTTTTTCCCATGTGACTCCTTGTAAAAAGGCACTCTCCCTCTTCTTTGTAGCCACCCTTTAAATACTGGAACACAGTGATAAGGTCCCCCCTGAACCTTCTTTTCTCCAGGCTGAACAGTCCCAGCTCTCTCAGCCTTTCCTCATAGACCTTCCCACTTTTTGGATCATCTTTGTGACCCTTCTCTGGACCCTCTCCAGCCTGTCCACATCTTTTATGTGGAACGGGGACCTAAGCTGAACACAGTATTCCAGCTGTGGCCTGACAAGCACTGGGTGGGATAATGACATCTTTATCTCTGCTAGTGATGCTCTTGTTGATGTTCCGCAGCACACTGTGGCTTGCTTCGCTGCAGCAGCACACTGTTCACTCATATCGAGCTTGTGTCCACCAGGACCCCCAGGTCCCTTTCCACAGAGTTGCTTTCCAGCCAAGTAGATCTCAGCTTGTGCTGGGATTTCACAGGAGACAATGTCCAAAGCCTCACTGAATCCAGGCAGATGATGCTCACTGGACAAATCCAGTCCCAACTTCTCCCTTTTCCTTTCTTTTCCAGATGCCGCCTCAGCCTGCCACCATCATTCAGCAGTTACCTCAGCAGCAGTCTCCCCTGATCACACAGATCCCCCCTGCCCTACCTTTTTCAGCCCCCCGCTCTGGAAGCATTAAAGAAGGTAAAGTACCCACCTAGCTCCCATTACGCAGGCTGGAGAGGGCAGGGGAGGTGCCACAAGTGGGAAGGGAGCATAGGTCAGCATCCAAGCTAAGTTAGTGAAATGCTGGTTTGTGATGAGGCTGTTGCTGGAGCTGTGGGAATTGCACTGCACTAGGTGTACTAGATGTCATTTCTGAGAAGCTTTCAGATAAACTCTTATCACTAAAACTAAAGAAACAGGGACTACAAACTCAGCAAAGCCAGGCAAAGCTGCCAGGGAAGCTTGGGAAAGCAAAACAGCTTAACACATGGCACTGAGTAGTATTAACAAGGTCAAACTCGCATGTATGGATGAAACCAAAATTACCAGTCAGGCTTCTAAAACCTGGTTTTATTCCCTCCTTTTTTTCCTCCCTTAATCTGCTGCTCAATCTCCTCAAACAATACAGGCTTTTGTTAAGCTCTGTGTTTGGAAACAAGACAGAACAGCTAAAAGCACTGTTCCAAATATAGTGCATTGCCAATAAAAAGAGTTTGTTTCTAAACATAGCTGGATGCTACTGGGAAATAAGACATGAACAAAACCCTGGGATGATTTCCCTGGCTCAACCTTCAGCCAAAGGCTTCTTCATGCCACAGAGAAATCCTCATTCATGAGACTGCAATATTTCTCACCTCTTTCTAACTGTCTGGAGTTTTAAGTTGGAGTTTATTTTCATAAATAAAATAGTCCCAATTAATGCGTGACTCTGCCGAAGCTGAGAGATGGGAACTACTTTTGGTATGACCAAAAAATAAGACAGTTGCCTTGATTTTGCTTGCCCTTTTTTTTTAATCCCCTCTCCTTCCTCCACCTTCTTCACAAGTCACAGAATTATAGAATGGTTTGGGTTGGAAAGGACCTTAAGATCATCTAGTTCCAACCCCCTGCCATAGGCAGGGACACCTCGCACTAGATCCTTTGTGATTAGGACCCAGAGATCATAGTTAATGGGTTTGACGTGCATGCAGTGGACTCTCAAGGTGGCACTGCAATATCATGTAAGTTTGAGGAAACCTCTCAGTGATTGTGAGCTGAACCAATGGAGAGCACTGCAAGGAGCTGGTCCATGCTGGAGGAAGCAAGAGAGCTCTAGTGCTCAGCCCATCTCCAGCATAGCCAGTGGGGTGGGCTTGCAGGGAAACTAACAGACAGATGCACAACAGCAGCTTTCCTGTAGAAGGGAGGAAAAATAGGAAACTAGTATGAACTGTCTTATTCACAGACATTAATTTTGCACTGCCTGGGTAAAGAATGCTAATATTCTTCATGTTGATCTTAAAGGTCTTTTCCAACCTAGTTGATTCTATGTGTCCCTTTCAGCTGTCCCTTTCTTGGTTGCAGTGAGTGGTCTATATACGGGAGAGCACTTCTAATTGAGATGCCTCTGCTGCTTGTCAGTTGCTGATAAAGCTCTTACTTTTTTCCTTGGGGTGACCTTTTCACAGATATGGTAGAGATGATGCTGATGCAGAATGCTCAGATGCACCAGATCATCATGCAGAACATGATGCTGAAGGCTCTGCCACCGATGGCATTCACACAGCCTGCGGGAGCCAGCCCTTCCCTGCTTCAGTGTGCACGGCAGGTAACAACACTGGGGTCTGAAGGGCATTCTTGCTTCCACAAGGCAGTGGTTGATCTCCTTGTGAGGGTGCAGGCCTTGGATAAAACATGGTGAAAGTCTGGGATGCTTAACAGCTGTGCCACTGAGTTCCGAAAGGACAGATGTCCCAGATATTTTGGGGTGTAGATCCCTATAGGGATATTTCCAAAACATGTCCAGTGCCTGATAAGAGGTAGATAATTTTGAGCACGTCCTTAGGTGCCCAATTCCTAAGCTGTTTTTAACAAGGTGATTTAGCTCCTTAGCATCTGTAAGTGCTTTGGGAAAATGTATTTCTAGACTCATTTCTATGGCATTTATTATCAAAGAAACAAGGACAGTTGCTTGTTGGGGAGCAGGGGATGTCCCAGTGTTGCAAAAAGTTCCATACTTTCTCTACCCTTCTTTTTCTGAGCTAACTATGTATTTCCCTGTGCTGTAAGTCAGATTTGTTTTCTTTTTCTCAGATATTAAGGTTGTTGGGTACTGAGAAAGTAACTCCCAAAGTCCTACAGCCCTTACCCAGCTCACTTGCATCTTTACTACATGCTATTTGTAAAAGCGTCTGAGCCCTGGGTTTAACAGAGGGGTAGGAAACACAGTCCTCCTCCATAACCCATCCTGTGGCCTGGAGGGAGCTGACACCTTTGTGTGTCTGTTGGGACAGAAAGGCTCTGAGAGCAGCTGCCAGCTCGCACATTTCAGGGCACTGATGTCCCAGGAGGCCACCCGAGGTGCAGAGCTGGACTCATCAGCTGTGGTGCCAGGGTGGACTTGCTGTGGGAACAGCAGAGCTGCATCGAGCATTGCCTTGCATGGGAGTCCTTTTCTATTTCCCTTAAATTGTGCAGTTTCTGGGTTTGAACAGCCTTTCCCTTGCTACTGGGGAGATGTCTGGGGCAGACAGTGGTGCTGGGAGAGCCAGTGGACACATCTGCAGCTTTCTGTGTCTAAACGGAGGTGATGGGGGAAAAAGCATGCATCCCCCTGGTCCCCACTTTCCTCCCCAGCCCATCCTGTCATTTTGTGTTTCCCTGGCTAAATGTGGGGCAGTGGGGTGTGAATGCCTCTGAATGACAGGTGAAATCTGAAATCACCAAGTGTTTGCTGGACTTTCTATGTTGGAGCCTGCAAAACTCCTCTCCAGACACATCGTTTAGCAAGGGCTGGCCAAATGGGAACCCAGCCCCTTAGCCAGGGACCCTTCGCATGGGGGCACAGCTTTCACATGTCACCCTTTGTCTCTCCACCAAGGACCTGCAGGTTCCTGCTCCCCTGGCTGTGAAAGCAGACAGGCCCAGGCCATCTGTGGTGCACCACCACCACTACCCTGCCACAGGGATGCTCCCAGCACCCCACGAGCAATTCCCATCCACATCCACGGCACATCGCTGGACCAGCAGCACAATCCCTGCCCTGCCCACGTAAGTAAACAGGGAGCCATGATGTAAACTTTTAGCCCTTCTGTTCTGGTTTCAGCTGAGATAGAGTTAATTCTCTCCCTAGTAGCTGGTGCAGTGCTGTGGTTTGGCTTTATTCTGAGAACAATGCTGATAACACACTGGTGTTCTAGTTGTTGCTGAGTAGTGCTTACCCTGACCAAGGACTTTTCAGTTTAAACCACACCACCTTCCTTCCTGCACAGGTGGGGTAGCAAGGTAGACCACATAGTCCTTTGTGGTTCTTCACTAAATCCAGTCCTCAATATTATCTTTAATGCAACAATGGCATTGAGGAAGGTTAAATAATTATTTGATATGATTGATAATTACAACCTGATGAATTAACCCTTGTTTACTGTGGAATAAACATGAGTGTCAGACAAGGTCTACAGATGATACCAATCTGTGTCCGGGCCACAGAGACACAACCCACCCAGCAATTACCATGGCTGTTGGCCTGGGGCTTGGGTCTCCTTGTGAAGTCAGCAGACACCTTCTAAATAAGGGCTGCATGTATTTTCCATTCAGGCTAAGGTTCCCAGTAGGATTCACCCTCATAAAACATTGCTGAGACCGTTGCTAATCAGAAATTTCTGGGGAAAAACCCCACCACCCCTTGCTAAGAAAAATGATACAAAGTGAGGAAACCCCTCAGAAATAAAGCTGAGCCTTTGGGGTAAGCACAGGGACTCACTGCTGCATGAGTGAGGACAAAGCTTCTACTTCTGTGCTATGGCTCTTAGTGAACAGAAGGACAGGCTGGAGGCAGCTGCATTCTCAGGCATGGGTGGCCTGCTGGCAGGGGTATCTGTATAACTCCCTTAGCATAGGATTTGAATTCCTGAACAGATTATTTATCTAATGGGATTATAAGGGATAAACATTCAACCCATTTCACTTTTACATGGGTTTGTAATCTATACCAGTAAAGATCTCTTGGTTCCTTCTGAAGTGGTGCCATTAGCTGTTTGCAGAAATGACCAAAGGAAGATCTTGTTGAGCAGCTCTGCTCTGGAGCCAGGCTGAGAGAGCTGGGCTGGTTCAGCCTGGAGAAGAGAAGGCTCCTGAAGGGGACAACTTAGAGCAGCTCCAGTGCCTAAAGGGGCTCCAGGAAACCTGGAGAGGGGCTTTGGACAAGGGCCTGTAGGGACAGGACAAGGGGAATGGCTTTAAGCTGCCAGAGGGGAGATTGAGATGAGCTCTGAGGCAGAAGCTCTTCCGTGTGAGGGTGCTGAGGCGCTGGCACAGGGTGCCCAGAGAAGCTGTGGCTGCCCCATCCCTGGCAGTGTTCAAGGCCAGGTTGGACACAGGGGCTTGGAGCAACCTGCTCTAGTGGAAGGTGTCCCTGCTCGTGGCAGGGGGTCGGAACTGGATGAGCTTTAAGGTCCCTTCCAGCACAAACCAGTTTGGGATTGTATGATTCTTCCTGTTCTTCAGCTACCTTCCACCATGAGTTGTAAGATCTGACACATCTACACTGTCCTCTTGCAGCTGCAGGAAGCAGGCACTGATGCACTGTTGGCTATTACCAAACACAGTAAAGCCATTTTTCTTGTTGCAGGTGGCCCATATACTGACAGTACATGTTCCTCTCAAGTGGACCACAGCATTGCTGAAGTCAACCTGTATTTGAACAGTTCTGTCTGATTGACACGCTCGTGTCAGTAAGACTGCACATTGTTGGTACAAGGAGTACCAGAACTCTGCCCTACCTGTGTGAACTGGCTTCACACACTACTCGGATAAATAATTCTCAGCGAAGAACAGAAGGAAATCTGTTCCTGCAGGGTTTGAATACTGAGGTGCAATAACTGCAGTCCATGTTTTCAGCCCCAGGAGGGCTCTGACTCCGTGTCTTTCCCAAATCTCATATTTACAAAGCTAGCCAAGGCTTTCTTCTCAAAGAGCTATTGGAAGGTAACTTAAGCAGCTTGGAACTGTGTATATTTGTTTCATTATTTCTCAATCTTGCCCTCATATAATCAGGGTTTAGACTTGATTTAAAAACAAAAAATAAAATCTTGTAGTTCTTCCTTGGATACTGGCATGTCTTTTGCTTCAGCAGCATAAATCAGATTTTCCCCTCTTTACTATTCCCACTGGTTTTCATAGGGCACCCTTTAATCTGAGTCCACGCTCTCCTGTTATCTTTGTTTTCACCTAGGACTCATTGGAAGGCTCACTGAGAGCTCTAATCACCCAATACTTTTTCATGCCCTCAGCAGTCTGGTGGTGGTTAATACAGAAAGATAACCTATGAATTAGTAACACTTTCTCCATGTCTTCCCACCTTCTCCTGTGTGTAAAATGGAGAACGTCTTTACGTTGGTTTTGCCTGGTGCGGTTTGTGAGTGAATCTAATGTGAAGATAACCCCAAAGGAATAATTTACTACACCAAACTTACCATGCCCTTTGCCCTGTCTGCTCTGTTTTCTTTGCTGGGGGTGTGTGTGAGTCAATCAGATAGTGTGGATCAATTCACTGCTGCATAGATCAGAGAAACCAAACAGATGGTCTTCAGTGGAGACACATCCAGATGCAATGCCCAGGGCCCATGGGCACTAGCAGCCTCTAACAACCCCAATGAGCCCCATGGGGGGACTCCTGCCCTGCCAAGGGCCAGCAGTTCTTCTTAAGGTTGGGCCAGGGGCTGCTGTTGACCCTGTTCTTCATGTCCTCTCCTTGTGTGGTACCACAGGTTGGGACTATGGTGTGGTGCTTGCTCCCTGTCCCCTCAGGAGCAGCCATCCCTTGCTGCACTGGGAACCAGGATGTGCAGTGGAGAGTGACGTGCTTGTGTATGGATTTGGCCTTACTCCTTTGAGACAAATCTGGTGTTTCGGGCTGTGCATTGCAGGTTTAGCAGTAAATGGTAGTTAGTGTATTTAATGTGTGTGTTTTCACTGGCTGCTGTTCAACCGCTTACTATATGCAACGTTGGCTCAGCAGAGAATTCCCTCCCAAGGACAGGCATGTGGAACAGTGCACAGAGAGGTGTCTCCTCAGAGCCTCATCCACGTCCTTCTGCATGTTATGCCTGGACCCTCTGCTCACCATCACACCCCAATGTGCTCAAGCCACACACAGCTTCCTTGTGTGATCCTGGCAGATGGGATCAAGCCCCTGGGCAAGCAGCGTGTTCCGTATCCCACCCTCGGGCAGTGCCCTTGAAGCTCCAGGAGTTACTCCACATCGTCCTCTGCACTTACAGCCCAGCAAAGCACCAGTGGAAGCCCGGCAGATGCGAGTTCTCCTCATGCTCTGTGTGTGTTTCATCAGGAAGCCCTTGAGGACTGTAGAATTGCTTCAGGTTTTGAGAGAAAACTGCTTTAAAGTGTTCACAATGCAGCTGAATAACTCCACATTCACATCCCTTCACCTGAGGAACCACATGCCTGTCCCCATGGCCATGCTGACCCACTGACAGCCTTTGTGCTGGGAGTTAAACTTTAATAGGAGCTAGGGGAGAAGAACCCAGGCGTGACTCAGCCGCCCATGTCCTTCCTCTTCTCCTCCTCACTGGCGAGGGCAGCGCAACAGGACAGGGAGCAGGGACACAGCACTAAGAACCTGCAACCTGGGGGTGCCCCAGTGATGGAGACCAGTGACCCACGGGGGAAAAGAGTCGCCGTTGTCGGTGGTGGTCTGGTAGGAAACTCAATTTAGCTGCTGTGTGACTGCACACAAGCTAGAGCTGTGAAAGCATTGGATAGGCTGTGAATGTCAGATGAACGGGGTCTTATGGAGGGGTTGGTTGGAAGGCAGCGAGGAGCTTTGTGAGACTTTGTAGGAGGAGAATATCTCTTCCCCTCAAGGGAAAGCTTTGCTGCTGAGATACCCCAGAGTTGCAGTGCATGGCTGTGGTTGGTGCTTGGCTTGAATGGTGTGTGCAGATACATCCCAGAATCATTGGGGGAAATCCTGCCATTAAGAGTCCTTTTGTCAGAGGAAGAGCTTTGGCAGGTCGTGCCCAGGTAGACTAAATCACAGTCCTCTCTTAGCCTGCCAGATCGTCTGCCCTCAGCTGCATATGGCTTTAACCAAGTCACTAAGGTGAAATGCTCTGTGAGGACTGAGAGCTGGTAAACACGAGGCTAAGAGGAAATGCCTCCCTCTGCCCACTTCTGTTTGGGAATGGTTTTCCTACCTTGCTGCTTGCAGAGTGGTCTGACTTTAAAGGACAGCATGGAGTATTGCAGCACCTAACTCTGTCTTTTGACCTTTTGGCTGTTAGCTTCTTGGTCCTCGTGCTGCTGGGAAGGAGTAATGAAACAAGAATGTGTAGTTCTGACAGTGATTAATGATGGAAATGAAATCCCAAAAAGACCATCATCCATTTAAATAACAAGCAGAACATCAGCGTAAGGACCTTTTGAAGGTGACATCTTGCTTTTGCGCAGGTCTAGCTTCCCCTCCTGTGTTCCCAAGGGAATGCTGCAGCACCCTGAATTCTACCCAGGAAGATAAATCCAGTTCAGAGATGAGCAGGCACTGTCCAGCTCCTGTTGTGTCTGGATGAAGGGCTTAGCTCTACTGCAGTTAATCATATAAGCAAGCCCTGAACTTGATGTGACTCTGTATGATGAGTTTTGATGGATGGCTCTTGTCTTGGAGGCTCTGCAGGCACAGCAGGGGTGCCAGAGCACTTATCTCCTGGAAGAAGTCCTCTAAAGTTCTTGATCAAAGAGTTTTCCTGTGTAGACTGAGCTGTATCCCCTGCCTGCTGCTTTCCCTTTATGCATCTCAGTAGTGATCTGTGATACAGCTACTAGTGAAACACTGCATCTGCCATTCCTGATCCTTCTCTTGTAGGTGGGTGCATTAAATGCCTGTTTCTTTGCTAGACGAGGTTTCCATGTTGATGTTTATGAAGCCAGAGAAGGTAAGTTCAGCCTGATCATTGCTGCTTTATTAATAGCGTTCCTGTCCCTTTGCTGATTACAGTTTTTGAAGAAGTAAAAGAGGAACTGTGTGAGCTCACTGAA